AAAGTGAATTCCCAGATCATGTCAGAAGAAGGTTATTAATATCTTGAGTTCAAGCATGTCCAGAATGGCAAGTCAAGTTAAGGACAAGGGATAAGTCTTTTCACAACAGAGGACTGCTTTTACTACTCTTCTTTTATGGGTCCCTCATTTGGAGAGAAAACTAGGGACAAACTAGTATTTCTTCATAAGTAATTAGTTAATTTCCCCAACTTGTTTTGCCAAAAGTTGAAACTGTCAGTCATGGCTTCTGGTCAGAATTTCTGAGGCTATTAATGTGAGCTGTGTGAATTCATCTATCCCTCCCCACAATGTCTAGAAAGTTATAATTCCTTTCTTTAATACTATGTACTGCTTAAACAGGGTACATATGCATTTTCTTTTGGGCTTTTGAAGGGATTAAAACACCTTTGAGGCAGTAGCAAGAGTAAAGGCATTAGGGGTTCCATTGAGGTTACCTCCACTCTCTGTAGAACTCTGAAGTCTCTCAGAAACTTCTAGGTTCCCTTCCTGGGATCTTTTCTTTGTACTTGATTCTACTCCCCAGACTTTTATTGGAAAATCATATTGGATAACTAGGTTTATATTTGAATCATTGTTATTAGTGAGTTAGATTTAGACTCACCTCTTCAAGCAATTATGGACATAAAAATAGGAAATTTCATAAAGGTTGACTATGTGTAGAATTTGCTTCATATACAAATTTACATGAATTGTAAAAAAGTCAGAGATTATCTGTTTTTCCTTTGTCTGATATGGATTTGTTTTGTAGTAAAAGAGCAGAATTAAAAAAAAATTTCTTAGATTTTTGTACTTGGATTTACATATCATAAATGATGAAATATCTATATATATACTTATATATGTATACACACACATATATATAAGTGAGACATTTAGTAGCCACTAAAAATATGCATATACTATGCATCTATGGTTGCAGAATAGAATGTTGCAAAAAGATAATCAAGTTATTAAAGAAAAAGCAACTTACAGAACATAATGTACATATGTCATGATTGCATTTGTATACAAATTGGGCTGGAAATTTTAATTTTTACCTTATAATTTTCTATACACTTTGATATTATTTAACTAGCACTTTTATCATTGAAAAAATAGTTTAAATAGTTTAATATATTGACTTATTTCCCGTAGACCATTAAAATATCATAATGTATGAATATTTTAATGTTAGCATTTTCAAGTTCTATAAAATTCTACAAATGTATTTAATATATCCTGTCTTTTAAAGAAAAAATATTAGTAAGAAATAACTCAATTCAGTATTAGTGTGGAAAATTACACTTGTATATACAAATTCACATCTTAAAGGATTATTTGTGTCATGAAATCTAGTTTCTTTTTTAAATGGTATATGAAAACTGTAGTATCATTTCCTCCAATATATAGTGAAATAACTATTGTCCCTGTTTAGTATTTTTAAGTTTTTATTCCCTATGTTGTGCTTTTATCTCTTCTATAGTTTGAAGGCTGAACCTCTTTATCCCCTTCTCCCACTTCACCTACACCCCTCAGCCCTCTCCACCATAGCAATCACCATGTGGTTTCTTCTTATAAAAAAAGAGAAATATATAAATTGTGCTCTAGTAAAAAGAAGAAATAAAGATCAACTATAATCCTACTACCCAAATATTGCCAACATTAAATATATGGTAAACAGAATTACAGTCGTTTTTCTACAACTTTATTTCCCACAATAAACTTCCGTAGTTTTGTAGAGTATGAGTCCTATTAACTCTTTGTATAGTTTATTGCTATATATTTTGTTTTTATTTGTTTTGTTTTGGTTGCTCTTTTGAGTGAAATCTTTTCCCATTATGTTGAATTACTAGGTATTTATTATGTAACTGAGCACTTTATTTAACTTTTTATTAGCTTTAATAGTTTATTTTTGGTTCCATTAGTTTTTCCAGTACAGTACTTTTTGCCTTATGCTAACTACAATGTACAGTATTTCAAATTGTAAGCAATATGCACCATCCAGCTTATAATTTAAAAGAGAATTCTGCATATTGGGAAAACACTGCTTAAGCTAGACTCTGGCAGTGGTATTTGAACTAATGCTTAAAATGTTATGAAATTTTTCATATGGAAAAAGTTATAATTTGATGCTACATCTAAAATATTTTTTCAGATTGGTATTGTTCTCACACTGTTTGGTCTAGCAAAATCCCCACCATCTTTGAATACTGGGGTGATTGGCTAATCTACATATCTACACAGTTAAGCAGTTTAGAATGAACAAATTATCCATATGTTGTACAAATTTAAACCTAAGTACAACTGACACTTTCTTCCTTGGTGTATTAAAAGAGATTTTCTTAGGCAAGAGAAGAATATAAATTTCATTGTAAAAAGATTGCCTCATTATATAAATGATATCTTTCTATTTTTTCCTCATTTCCAGAGAAGTCCTAATCATTCACCTGCCCTGTAGAGACTGAGATTGTGTATGTTTTTTTAAAGTGTATATTCTCTATCAACTCTGTAAAAATTAACTTTGTATGAACTTTATATTGTGTTTTTTCAACCTTCTAGCTAGTGAAGCTATCATTACATTTTATATAAAAATGTTCTTCCTACACTAGAAGAAATTTCTCATAAAATACGAGTTTAAAATATTTTTAGTAATTGACTAGATCTAAAAGGTTTAACATTTTGATAACACTCATAAGCAATTTCTAAGATTACATATAAACTGTTTAACTGTGTAGATATGTAGATTAGCCAATCACCCCAGTTTTCAAAGATACATGTTCACATATAAGGCGAACATGCAATAATTCCTAAAACTAAGTGTTCTTGAATTATTTCATGTGGAAAATTCTGATTCTAGTAGCAATTACTCAGCCAAAAGCATTTAACTACAGACTGAAGTAGCCACTTTGAATTTTTCACTAGTAAGCATAAATTCAAAATGGCCTAGATATCATATACTTCTTCGAGCATCAGGGAATGTGTGTTTTAATACAGTTTTGTGATCCCTTATCTGAAATCTGTGGGGCCAGATATATTTTGAATTTTTCAGATTTTTTAAATGTGATATAGAGCATATGCCTATATTATTTAAAACTGGTCATGCCTGGGGAAAACCCTATAATTAACATGATGCTTTTGCACAAATGTATGAATGTTCACACTGAGTCGGATAAACTTCAGTTTGGACCAAGTTTGTCACCAACTGATTTCAGCTCAAGTTGGATTTGGCCACCATATTAATTAGGAAATAAACCTTCATTTTCACAGATTTTTGTGTTATGAATATGAGATTTTGGACATGAAGTTCTTTGTGATCCTGGTCATTTTTCTTGGCCACAATCATCTCAAATGTTAAACTGAGAAGTTAGACTAAGTAAATGATAACGTGAATTTTTCAGATTTTATATCTGAATGTCTATTTAATACTCTGATATAAGAAACACTACAACTAAATCAGTTTTATATGATCTCAGTTTAATAATTGCTTAGTTCAGAGGCCCTCAACATTCTCAAAAGGAGAGTAGTAATTATTTATGATTCATACATAAATTGTAAAGAATTTAGATCAAGAAATGTTTCCACTCGGTCTTCTGTACAGCTGGAGCCGAACTAAGTTTCAAGCTTACAAAGACAGATTAGTTTTTGTTTGCAAATTTGATTACCAGAATGTGTTGTAGTGTAAGATTCTTATAATTAAAATGTGAGCTATGTAGAAATGGCAAGAACCATTGTATGGTCTTCATGATTTCCCTCTGAAAACCAGGAGGGACAAGTTAGCAGGATTAGACCAGTGTAACCGAAAGGGGACCTGCAAAACCCTATTTTGTTTCACAGCCTCAATCTTACCATCTATCCTAAGAAAAATGAGTCCTAAAACCAACAGGGTGGGGCTCCCCATTGAGGAAAGACTGAAGCTAGTCAATTGGAGAGCTAGTGGGGTCTCTCCTGGGGGTAGATGGCAACCTGGGACAGTTCAGTTACAGGAGGGAGAATGAAATGAAAGCTAGAGATGCGATGGAATATTCCAGAGCTCACAAACTGGTACTAAATGAAGCCAAAATGTGTTTGCGAGACTTTGCCTTCTCTGTCTTGTACCCATGTTAATAAAAAGAAAAAATGTATTTGATTATCTTTGGACATGAGATGCTCTTTAATTTTCCATGTTTTCTGGCATTTCCTATGGTTGTGTACCTTGTCACTTCTCTCATTTAACTTACCTGATGACTTCTGAGGGCATTTCAAGGAGCCATTCCTGTCTGTAGCTATGCTACCAAAGCAGATTTTAAAACATTGGAAGTTTAGTGTTGGGAAAGGGAAGCTATAGTATGGACTGAGGAATTGTTATTGAAGTTCTGAGAAACTATGAGACATCCAGTTACTACCGTGCTACTTTTTATTCATTTCCTCAAATACTTTATTGGTATTTGCTATTTTGTGCCTTTGGATTGAGGCTGAAGGAGGTGATGGGGGGATCGAGTGCCTTCTAGAAGTGGATGGTGCATTCCCGGGTCCACCACCAAGTGCTGTATTGCTTAATAGAAGTAGTGAGTCATGTGGCTAGCTGCTTTATTCTTTAATTTATACAGTTTCTTTCCTCCCAGGAAATCAAGGTAAAGCATACATAACTTTTAAATCACAAAATATTTACCAGTCACTGTGATAATCCAACAGAGGAGGATTAAGAGGTAAAAAATTGAGTAAACATAATGTCTGTCATTTAACTGTAGATTAATGATACCAAAATAAAATTTAAAAAAAAAGAGGTAAGAAATTGGAAAGAGAGACCAAGAACAGGAAAGACACACAGGGAAAAAAAACCAATGGAAGGAAGCATCTAGGAGCAAGATGTGGATTTTAATAAAGTACAAAGAGTTATGGCACCCAGTCCTGGGTCTTATTTTAAAGAACACTAGAACTCACGTATCATTAAAAATGTTTTAAACTAACATTGTGTTGTGTAATTTTAGCTGTCTCTTGTTTTCTTGACAGATACGGAAAACATGAATAAAAGAGACTGGCCACTCATGACAATTAAGAAAAATGATAGCTCAGGTATTCTTTCTAGTTCTAAGTCTGTACTATGATTTATGGTAGATTATGCATGATATAAAATTGAAATGTTGATTTTCAAAATTTTAATAATGGGAAGTTCCATTTTTAGGCAAATCGAAGGTTTCTCTAGTCCCCTCACAGTGTGTGTTTTAATCTTCCTCAGTGGCAGTCAGGGCAACCATGCCTTCCTTCATTGTGTTTATCCTTAAATCATTTGGAGCCTTCTTATAGTCATGTGATTAACGATATACTTAATAGCTCTTAATTACTGTACATGGCACAGATTGTTAACATAATTGAGACAAAAGTACATTTTTTGCTGAATTTCTCAGGTTATACATTATGCTACTTGGCCTTAGAGTAGCTTCTACCTATGTTTTACTTTACCAAAATAGTTAATATTATACTAATCTAGGACATTTTATGTATTTGGATGGAGAATGCCTACTCAAACATTTTATATCATTTTAATATTATTTAGCCTATTATAGTTTAGCCTATTATATTCTAGAGAGTTTCAAATATACTATGAATGTTACAATTTGCTTAAGTCTTGTATTTACTTAAAAATATTTAAAAATGAGACCTGCAGTCAATATGTTGTCATAATTATACTTTGACTTACAATAATATTATTTCTTTGTCATTTTCTATTTTTGATGAAAAACAGATAAGCTGATATTCTATATGAAAAATGGAGTGAGAAGCACCAAGTATAAACCAGTAGACTATCTACAACTGCATGCATTCACTGAAGCAAAAAAATTAGCTTCTGCCACTATAGAGAAAAAGGTTAGAAGTTGTATGTATGTGTGTTTTCTAGTTTTGGAAAATTGAATCGCTAGGAAGAAAAATAACATTTGCAATGAAAACATGAAAATAAATAACATTCTAAATAGTTTTTGGAATCTTCCAACGACTCATAATAGTGAATAGCACCTACTGAACACTCTTGGACACTGTGCTACGTAGTTTACATGCATTAATCATTTCATGTTCATAACAACCCAATCAGGTATGAATTCAGCTTTATTTTTAGAAAGATAGCCATTTTACTAGCTTTCAACAATTTCTAACTTAATTTGGGAAAATAGTTGCTACTAAGTACTAGCCATGAGTTATCATCTGATTTAAGACTCCTCCTGGAGCACCATGCATATATGCCCTGAAGTTCCTCTGCTTTCTAGAATTCCCTTTCTTGTCTTGATCTAAAAAAAGGTGAAGTCGGACTAGATTTGGAATGGGTTTATGTGCAAGTAATTGTACACAGTATTTTAGGACCACATATAACTTAGGATTGCTCATGCGATATGTTTCTCTCTTGTGCAAATAATGGAGCACATTATAAAGAGCATTTTTCTTGCTTGGTCACATTAAAAATCTGGTATGGCAAAGCAACATGTTTAATAATTTATAATTTTTATTTGTATTTAATGTTTTGGGGTTATATTAGTTTTACATGTTTTTTTATTGTTAATATCTTTTTAAAAAGATAGCTGTTATGATTCCAAAGCACATTTGATACCCTTTTCTAGAGAAATTACCATGTATCTATGAGCTGTATCCCCTAAAACTAAGGAGACTATTTAAAAAGTAGGGCATTATTTGTTGGATTCAGATATAACCTTGATTTATTGTTAACAGGACATTCAAAGAATTTTATGGGAAAATCGCTTATACAACTATTATCTTAACAAAACTATTTTCATATTTCTGGCTTCTATTCGGACCCATTATCTATGTACCACATATATACATACATACATGTAAAAAAATAAACACATACTTATTTATTTTGTTTCCTCCTGTGATAAACATACACATGAAATTCTATATTCTTTTTCCCCTAACATTTTGCCACATAGTCTTTATAATATGTAATTATTATATGATATTTAATTACTCCAGTAAATATATATTTATTGTGTGCCTTGAAGATAACAATGGAGAACAAAATAAAGCTCCTACTCATGGAGTATACTGTTTGCAGGAGATGGGGAGAAGGAAAGTCAGTGTTTATCAAATAAACCCTGAAATAAAATTATATTAAGTATAAACTCCAATTAAAATGTGCTGTCTGGTGTGTGATAACAGGAGTAATCCTAATTGGGTGGGAAGGCTTTTCTGAGGAAGTGACATTGGAATTCGGGTATCAAGGTCAGTAAGAATTAACTAAGCAAAGACAGGATTGACAAGTACTCCAACTAGAAAATGATGCGTGTCCTATCACATCCTGATTTTTGGATATTTGGATGGTATCCAATTTTATGATACTGGAAACCATGCTTCAGGAAATGTTTTCATGTATAGATACTTTTCATGTCTACATCCCCATAAGATAAGTTCCTGTGATTGAGATGTCTGAGCCAAAAAGTATGAATGTTTTTAAGTTCTTCCCCCAAATATGTTTCTAATAAAGATGCCACCGTAAACATTTTCTCTACACCCTTGTCAGTATTAGAATGTATGCATATATATTCATATATATATATATATATATACATACACACACACATATGCATTCCTAATATTATCTATGTATCTATTTGTCCAGCCAGCCATCATGCACCAAAAAACAAAAATTTAGGCTCAATGTGGAATGATTATTAAAATCAGTATTTGGTCAAAGTGAGTTTCTTTGATGATAGAATCACTATCAAAGAATAAGCCTATTTAAAAATCTTAATTATGAATGTAGTTTTTATAGTTTGACATTAATTCCAGGGACAATAATTTGTCAGCACTGTTGGATGCTAGATTGCTTCTCTGCTCAGTGTGTTATATGTTTGTGAAGTTAAACAGATGATCACTTTCAATGAACATTTTAAATAATATTAATAACATTTTTTCATAAAATATAATTCAGGAAGGACCTTTTTAGTTACATATCTTCTAGAAATAACTTTGTACCTGGAATTTATAGTTTGGCAAATCTTAAAAACATCCCTATCTTCAACTACTGAAAATGGTTCAGTCTGTAGCAACCATTTTGACAAGGTTTTGCTTCTGTTTTTAGTCTCCATGGTTCATAACAATAAAGAATTGTCCTTTTAAAGAATTTTTGTAATATCTGTTGTCTTGACTTTTGATTAGTGGGAACAAAATGTGTCCTGGATGCCTCATCATTTTCTAACACCTTCTTTTCTTTATACAGTTTTCATTTTTTTGTTGTATCTGGATTAAGGAAGATATATTAGGAATGTAGTTGCACATGATTTTTTGATTCTTCCCATCTCATTTAGTTTACAGGTAGCAAGTTGACATTTTGCTTTTAATTTATTCTTATAAGATGTGAAAATTTTTCAAAGAGGACTTTTTCTTGATAGATTCATGGCTTAAGTAGAATTAGTAGCTGGAAATTAAATACAATTCATAAAGTTTAATTTGTTTAATGTTATGACTACTAATATGCCACATAGTCTGCACCAACTGGAATTGTGATTATAACACCATCTATTTTGTTCTTTCTTACATTATAATTTAATTTTTTATAAAATATGTATTGGTTCAAGAAGAATATTTTATTCTTCCTAATGTTGCATAGTTAACACATTCTCTCCTAATATTTGTATTAATTATCAGTCTATTTCACTGTTTGTTTTACCAATTAAATGTACTTTGTGCACATAAAATTAGCAGTTTTAACAATCATTGCTAATTACTATAACACTTTACTCTGGCAATAGTAAATATTAACATACGTAAACTGAATGATAGAATGCTAACAGTTGAGGCACACAAGGACATTTTTGCTTCAAGTTACATCTAGAATACTTTGAAAAGAAATGAACAATAAGTTCAGAAGACTTGCCTGATTTGTATAACTAATATTTTAATGCTGATTAGATGTGATGATCATCTATATATTTACTGTGTCACTGATCATGCACGAATTCTGGGATGCCAGATAAGACACTGATGTGGGCACTGAATCTTCTAGTCTTTCAAAAGCTGAGATTAAACCTGAAGCCAAATAGATTTGGGCTGGAAACTGAGGCAATTTTTGGTACATTGTATGCTAACTGTCCATTCTCAATTTACATATAAAAGCGGTCTTTATAATTTTTAAAAAAATTTCTTCTCTTAGCAAGAATGGTTCTTCCTGCCCAATTCAAGTATGCAATCTACTAATTCTTCTTTTAAATGTTATGTTATGAAAAATTATAAGCATTAGTAAAATTAGAGTGGATGGTACCATTGATCTCCACGTAACATTATGCAGCTTCAATTATTACTAACTCTTGGCCTTTATTTCCTCTATATTCTCACCCACAATTTACCCCTCTGCCAGATTATTTTGAAGCAAATCTGAGAGATCATAGTATTTCACATAACTTTTCAGCATGTGTCTCTAAAAGATTAAAGCTAAAAAAAAGGCTCCCAGACCCTACAGTGTCACTAGCACTAAAATGTTAATGATTTCTTAGTAATTTTAAATATCTAGTCAGTATTAAATTTCCCTGATTGTCTCCAAATTTTTTTCTTAATGTTTATTCAAATAAATAAGATCCATATATTGCAACTGATTTTTACTCTTTAGATTTCCTCCTTTATTCTTTCATATTTTTCTAATTTATTTTTTGAAGAAATTATATTGTCTTTTATAGTTTCTTACAGTCTGGATTTTGTTGATTACATCCTGGTGGTGTCATTTAGTGTTTTTCTCTCTCCTGTATTTTCAGTAAATTGGTAGTTATGTCTAATACATATTTGAATCTAAATTGACCAATTTAGTTTAGGAAGAACACTGATGGAATTTTTGTGCTCCGGTCTCTTTCTGTTACAAATAGTGAATAGCTTTGTTCATGTATCTTTTTATACTTTTTACAGTATAGTTATCAAACAGATCTTTACAATTAAGATGGCTAGGTCAAGGAGTAAATCCATATGAAATTTTGCTACATGTCTCTAAATTCCCTTCTTTGTGGGGCTGCATTGTTTTATTCCCACTAGCAACATATGAGAGAACATTTCCCCAGAGCCTCACAAGATTTTTTTTTTAACATTTGAGTTTTTGCCAGTCTGATAGATGAGAAATTTACATCTTAGTGTAGTTATTTTCTTTTTGGACATTTCTGCATTGAGGTATAACTTGCATGTAGTAAAGTGCATAAATCTTAAGTGCACATCTCAGTGAATTTTGACAAATATATACACACATATAAGTAACACTTAAATTGTCCACTAGTTATTGTTTATATCTAAAGATGGATCATCTGGCCCAAAAGCTTTCATGGCATTTCAAGATGCCTATTTAGAGTTTTGCTATCTTGGATCATCATAAACCATCAGGAAACCTCTAGTTTCTGATTCTTCTATGAATTTGTTATTTTTGTTATTTTTAATTAATTAACATTCTGCTTAAATCACCCTCCACCTTAAATACTGATTTCATATGGCTTTTGCCCAGCAAAATGAACTGGAAACACCTAGAAATCTCTCCATTGATAAAGATACAACTTTAAATCTTTTTGTTCTTTTAAGACTTCATTTTTGGCCTGAGGATAGAAGTGGATTCACTGAATGAGTTTACAAAAAATCAGGATGTCCTGCAAAATATTGGAAGTGTCTAGTGAAAAATAGTAGTTTTATTTTGACTTTTATTGTCTACTTAATTTGTCTTTTCCTGGCCCAAAAGCAGCAGTATTGATTTCTTTAAGCTATAAAAATATGAGTTTTAATTTTTTTGTATAACATGGACCAAATATGTCAAAGAAATCTAATTTTAAAAGTTGTGTCTGTTGCAACAAACTATAGAGGTAGAATGAGTTTTAGACATTCTTAAAGCAAACAGTAGAGTGTCATATTTTAGAAGCACTATGTACTTTTATTTTTTCAGTAGGTAAAATAGATTGCTGAATGTTTTCTTGCAGTTTTCTGTTCTTATTTAAATGCACTTTGTTCCTAGATTTCATAATTGTAGCACTCTTAAGGCCTCCTGAGGAAAAGATATGACTTTGACTTTGTGGTTTTTTAAACTAATGTCTGGGTTGTGTTGTTTTCTTATACCCCTAATTTTGAATCAGTAACTAGAACAGCAGAAAGATACACTCAAGGTTAAAGTAATCAGTGAATGACAGCTAGAAATAGCATGCATTATAAAGAGCCTTTTTAGGACTTGTCTTCTGAAGATATATCTTCAGCATTGATCTGTTAAAGCTTTCAAGCTACTAAAAGCTACTAAAATTTATTTCATCAAGTTTCTGATTTGAGAGTATTACTTTTGTAGATGCTTCAAAGTATTAATATGGAATACATGAGTTGAGTTCACCATACACATGACTATCAGTCAGTCTAACCAGGAAACAGTCGCTACTCCTGGACTTAGAGTGGAGGGGTCTTTAATGTAGGAAAGGGTTTCACACAGGATAGATCTGAGAAGCCAAACAGAGCTGGGAAACAACCCAGGGATTAACAACAGCAGGAATCATTGCTGTGCCTAGGTCGGAGGGACTTAAAAGCAAGGCTGTTGTATCCCATGGGCCATGGTTACACAGAGACAGTTGTAGAACTAGCAAGGGAAGTCGGAGCAATGGAGAAGATACAGATTCTCCTGGAGACCCCTCCGAGGATGGAGAGGCAGGATGCATAATCCTTTGGCTTCTCCTTTCCTCCCTCTTTTCAATCTCCTACTGTCAGTGTCTCTCTTTGGCTGAACCCAACTGGAAACCAGCTGAGAGCGATGTCTGAGAAAGCCAGGCTGCTCTGTGATACGGAGCAGGTCAGGAAGATGGCCAGGAATGGATCTTAAGGCAACAGACCCAGACCTGACACAACTTGTCAACAGCAACCCACAGCAGTAATTAGTGCTACATTTTTTAAAAGTCAAAATGTAAAATGAGTTGAAAACTTGGATTTCAGTGTTACATTATTTTCACTCTTTCTTTGTTAAGTACCTTCAAATAAATATTTGCCTAAAATTGAAAAACTTTAGTTACAAATTTTTACTTATAAAAATTTATTTACCAAGTTGAAAGGTTAAAATTACATGTTCAAGGTTGTTATTTCTAGTAGGTACTGAAGCTGGAACTAAAGCCAGGCATCTAATAACTTACCAATGACACTTTCCCATCCTATGCTGAAAAATAAGATAAAAACCAATTCAAACACCTAGGTTCAATGTGACTTTGATGTTTATGAGCTTGACAATCTTGACCAAGTCTTGTAACCTCTCTGAACTTGTGTCATCATCTGTAGATGCTCATGATGCCTGGCAGGGAAGATGTGTCAAAAAGGTGAGAGAACATATGGAAAGCTCTTGAAAAATTTTCTGGGACTGCATGAATTAAAGTTTTATTTATTGTATGTGTGGATTATTGCACCTTTATTTTCACAAATACTTTCAAAATAATTCTTAATTTGATCAGTACTCCAAACCATTTTCTCTTCACCTCCCTACTTTCTGTCTAACATAGCACTGATGTTAAAGTGGATTCTGTCAGAAGGTGCGCCCATAGGATTGAAAAAGAGTTAAGTGTTTAACTTAGAAAATACAGATTAAACATTTGCATTGTGTAAAACGCTTAAAAAACACTGAAATTGCTCCTCTTTGTTCCTTTAAATCTAGATCAGAAAAGCAGTGCAGACTTCAAAGATATCTAAGGAACAAACACTAATAAAACAACACAAGCAAGTGTGGTGGCAGGAACACCAAAGGCTAAATGAAGTCAGGTAAGAATTGAGGGAAATCTCAGTCAGAACACAGAGGAATTTCTAAGAGTTGTGCTTATCTAGTTAGATACTCTATAACTTCCCATGTTAATTAAACCATTGTAATCAAAATTTAAAGTTACACTTTGAATGCGAGTCAGATTAAAATCCTTTCATTTCCTCAGTTTAATTTGGAATCCAGTGAATATATTAATGTAGCTTTTGCTTTCCTTAGGAAAAAAAGATAATCTTGTATATCTGCTAATCACTCTTCTGCACTCCCATTTGTATTTGCAATTTCTTATACTTGGCACATTGGATTATAATTTTTTTTACATGTTTGTTTTCTCTATAATGTGGTAAACAAGGGCAAACGTCCCATCATACCCATCTTTTCATTGTAGGATACATAGAAGGAGATATATACATGCTTCCAGCTACTGAATGAATCAAGGAACTACGGGTTTCAAGTTATAAGTATTACTTTTGTAGATGCTTCAAAGTATTAATATGGAATACATGAGTTGAGTTCACCATACACATGACTATCAGTCAGTCTAACCAGGAAACAGTCGCTACTCCTGGACTTAGAGTGGAGGGGTCTTTAATGTAGGAAAGGGTTTCACACAGGATAGATCTGAGAAGCCAAACAGAGCTGGGAAACAACCCAGGGATTAACAACAGCAGGAATCATTGCTGTGCCTAGGTCGGAGGGACTTAAAAGCAAGGCTGTTGTATCCCATGGGCCATGGTTACACAGAGACAGTTGTAGAACTAGCAAGGGAAGTCGGAGCAATGGAGAAGATACAGATTCTCCTGGAGACCCCTCCGAGGATGGAGAGGCAGGATGCATAATCCTTTGGCTTCTCCTTTCCTCCCTCTTTTCAATCTCCTACTGTCAGTGTCTCTCTTTGGCTGAACCCAACTGGAAACCAGCTGAGAGCGATGTCTGAGAAAGCCAGGCTGCTCTGTGATACGGAGCAGGTCAGGAAGATGGCCAGGAATGGATCTTAAGGCAACAGACCCAGACCTGACACAACTTGTCAACAGCAACCCACAGCAATAATTAGTGCTACATTTTTTAAAAGTCAAAATGTAAAATGAGTTGAAAACTTGGATTTCAGTGTTACATTATTTTCACTCTTTCTTTGTTAAGTACCTTCAAATAAATATTTGCCTAAAATTGAAAAACTTTAGTTACAAATTTTTACTTATAAAAATTTATTTACCAAGTTGAAAGGTTAAAATTACATGTTCAAGGTTGTTATTTCTAGTAGGTACTGAAGCTGGAACTAAAGCCAGGCATCTAATAACTTACCAATGACACTTTCCCATCCTATGCTGAAAAATAAGATAAAAACCAATTCAAACACCTAGGTTCAATGTGACTTTGATGTTTATGAGCTTGACAATCTTGACCAAGTCTTGTAACCTCTCTGAACTTGTGTCATCATCTGTAGATGCTCATGATGCCTGGCAGGGAAGATGTGTCAAAAAGGTGAGAGAACATATGGAAAGCTCTTGAAAAATTTTCTGGGACTGCATGAATTAAAGTTTTATTTATTGTATGTGTGGATTATTGCACCTTTATTTTCACAAATACTTTCAAAATAATTCTTAATTTGATCAGTACTCCAAACCATTTTCTCTTCACCTCCCTACTTTCTGTCTAACATAGCACTGATGTTAAAGTGGATTCTGTCAGAAGGTGCGCCCATAGGATTGAAAAAGAGTTAAGTGTTTAACTTAGAAAATACAGATTAAACATTTGCATTGTGTAAAACGCTTAAAAAACACTGAAATTGCTCCTCTTTGTTCCTTTAAATCTAGATCAGAAAAGCAGTGCAGACTTCAAAGATATCTAAGGAACAAACACTAATAAAACAACACAAGCAAGTGTGGTGGCAGGAACACCAAAGGCTAAATGAAGTCAGGTAAGAATTGAGGGAAATCTCAGTCAGAACACAGAGGAATTTCTAAGAGTTGTGCTTATCTAGTTAGATACTCTATAACTTCCCATGTTAATTAAACCATTGTAATCAAAATTTAAAGTTACACTTTGAATGCGAGTCAGATTAAAATCCTTTCATTTCCTCAGTTTAATTTGGAATCCAGTGAATATATTAATGTAGCTTTTGCTTTCCTTAGGAAAAAAAGATAATCTTGTATATCTGCTAATCACTCTTCTGCACTCCCATTTGTATTTGCAATTTCTTATACTTGGCACATTGGATTACAATTTTTTTTACATGTTTGTTTTCTCTATAATGTGGTAAACAAGGGCAAACGTCCCATCATACCCATCTTTTCATTGTAGGATACATAGAAGGAGATATATACATGCTTCCAGCTACTGAATGAATCAAGGAACTACGGGTTTCAAGTTATTCAGTGATTTCTAGATGTAGCTGCGTCATGACTAACTTATTCACTTTGGATTTGGGACTTTTGTCATTATTTCCAGCAGTCACTTCAAGATGAAGTAAAACAGAATAATGATTCTTTACTTGATCTTAATTGTAATCTTTGAAAAGTACTTTTCTTCTCAAAGGTCAAGGCAAAAAAAAGAAGGCAGATGTGTTTGCCCTCCATTTGAGGCACATACTAGTTTTAATGGTGGTGGTATTTATAAAGTATGCTTTTTAAAATGGATATTTTTAAGCAAATGTTTTATATGAAGATAGATAATTTTTGTGGTCTTATTCTAAGTCAAATTTCCAAATACCATTAGTTTTACTTCTGATGTAGGTGCTTTTCATATTAATAATTTATTATTCTATTAAGAGGTCCTTACCTGTGAAGTAAAAAGCTCATGATTGGAAATGGTTTACACCATTGTATAACTTAAAATGTAGGAAACAAAATTACATAGGCTATCATCAGATTGTTGCTATAAAAACAAACCAGACCTGTCTTATCCCTCAAAAAGTCACCTTTTGTGGTGAAAACACTTGAGCTCATTAGAATTTTTTTAATTCACATAACTTGAAACATGATAAAAAGGAAAGCATCAGGAAGTTTTAATGAGGGTGTTTAATGAGGGTGTTCACTGTTGCAAGCTCAAATTACAGGAAGAGACTGGTGAACAGTTTTTATCTTGTCTGTCCCACACCTTTCTTAATGTATGTATTAGGTGGCTCTTGAGCTAGATAGACGAGGCATCTACACATCATTACTGAAAATTACGTTTAGTTGATCTGGAATACACAAAGATGATAGAAGTAAGGTGCATTCAAGTAATAACCTTGATGTCCTGAAACTTGTAAGGGCTGAAAATTGGGCAGAAAGAAGAATTCCAAGATAATACTCTGTGTTATTTTAGAAAGTAGGCTAATTTTAAAATGTGTTCAGTGAAATTAAAAAATAATAATAATAATAAAGAGGAAAGCTAGAGAAATGGCTAGATTTGTGGAGAATTCAAGGACCACGAGAAAATCAGGAGTTTAAGCTCTATCAGTGTTTCTCAACGTTTAAAAATCGACATTCCTTTTAACAAAAGATTGAAAGTACTGTTTGAGAGTCTCAGGCCTACAAAAGCTAGGTGCCTATAATGACGTCTAACTGTTGGGTAATTTAGTCTGTGCCAGGTCATATGTTAAGTACCACATATGCTTCATTTCATTCAGTGCCTATAATGACCTTACAGAATAGGTATCATTGTTCTCCCCGTTTTACAGATGACAAACTTGAGGTTCACAGTATTAAAGCTATGTGCAGAAGGTAAATCATCTAGTTTCTGTGAAGATGGCATTAGAGCACTTGCCCTTAACTCCTGTGCTCCATCAACTTGGAGTTGAGCAGCTTTTTCTTTTTTTTACAGAGTTCTGTTCATACCACCTAAGATCTAATTGGTCTAGCCTTGCTGGAAATGAAAGAGTTGCCAAACTTTAATTCTTTTAAATCTATATTAAGGACACTAGACATGTAAAATTTCTAAATATAAAATTATGCTTTATAATTTAAAATAATAAAATGCAATATTTGGAAAGGTAATCAATTTTTACTATAATTCATTTATAAAATTATATTTAATATTTAATATGCTTTCTCAAACAACACCCCATGAAGAGCTTGATACACATTCCTGGGGCATTTGCTCCCTTGTTTCAGAACGACTGGTTTAGAGGTTAAGGAGAAAGTTATTTATATTGGCCATATGGTAAAGAATTACAAATTTTAATAAGAATACTAAAATACTAAGTACCTTTTGAATATTAAGATACTAAATACTTTTTGAATACTAAAACTTGGAGGGTTTATTTGTATACCTTACTATTTTACTATAATTCCTGCAAGGAATGTTTTTATAACCAAATCTCTGTTAGAAATATTTGTAGTCTCTTGTTTATCATTTTAGTTTTACAGTACTATTTTAAAAGTATCACCTTTATACAGAGGATATCATGGGGTTTTGCCAACAATCAAATGTTGTCTAGAAATGCATCTTTAAAGGTGAAATTGAGACCTGTACTCACACCATGTGTGTAACTCAGGGCGCCAGAAAACTCCCTCTGAGGCCAGCTCCTCAGCTCATACCTTAGCCAATGGCTGTGAGACTTCCTTGTCTGACTTTTGTGGTACGCTCACCTGGGACAAGCTCTTTTAAGAGTAAGAAGCAGATCAAATAGCTGAGTCTAAGTTACCAGCGGCCTGAGCTGCTGAGTGAGGGTGCCCGCTGTCTGAGCTGCTGAGTGTGGGTGCCCACTGTCTGCTGAGTGTGGGTGCCTGCTGTCTGAGTGCTGAGTGAGGGTGCCCGCTGTCTGCTGAGTGTGGGTGCCTGCTGTCTGAGTGCTGAGTGTGGGTGCCCGCTGTCTGAGTGCTGAATGAGGGTGCCTGCTGTCTGAGTGCTGATTGAGGGTGCCCGCTGTCTGAGCTGCTGAGTGAGGGTGCCCGCTGTCTGAGCTGCTAAGTGAGGGTCCCCGCTGTTTGAGTGCTGAGTGTGAGTGCCTGCTGTCTGTGTGCTGAGGGCATCCGCTGTCTGAGTGCTGAGTGAGGGTGCCCGCTGTCTGAGTGCTGAGTGAGGGTGCCCGCTGTCTGAGTGCTGAGTGAGGGTACCTGCTGTCTGAGCTGCTGAGTGAGGGCACCCTTTGAGCTGCTGAGCTCCTTCCTGGTTGGAGGGATGCAGCTTCGGCCTTCAGCCTTCTCTGGCGCCCTAATTTTCTGTGGGCCTCCTGGCTGTCGGTTCCATTTGTGGAACTTTGCCGTAATCTCTTGCTCTGCTTTAGGCACGCAAAGCGATCCATGTCCCTTTGCTTATTGTTTGTTTAAACGGCTTCTGACTCTACCACTCCCTTGCACCCTGTGTTTCACTTGTTCTGCCCAAGTTGGTACCTAAGTAGTTACCCTGGAAATTTCAACAAGCTCTGGGTAGATTTTGCTGTTCTGAGGGGACTGATTCTACACCTAAAACTTTGGCACCATTCCGAAAGGGTGAGGATTTGTACTGAAAGTAGACTCCTGCGAGCTCATAAACACACTTCATAAGCTGGTTGGTCTTGCAGATGGTCAGCACTGCAGCTGAGCATATCTAGGAAGTAGGTTAATGTATCACTGAGGCAAACGGTCACACAAAAACTCAGATTTTTGTGTTGTGCCATCATACGCAGTGGTACCAGGGACGAGACAAATAGCTTTAGGAGGTACTCAGATTGGCAGGTTTGGATCCAGGAACCCCCTTGAGATGTGGAGGAGGCAGCATGTGCTGCAGAGTTCCAGCCTGGTGAGCATCCAGGACCTAGTCCAGAATGATGAGCAGGCCCAGTTCTTTTCGCCAGTTACTATTTTTAATGCTCTTGAGTCCACTGCAATTTGTATCTATTGTTCCTAAATCATATTCTACAAAACAGAAGTATTCTTCAAGATAGTCCAATGAGGATAATGAATTTCATGCCCTATAAATTAGGAAAATATATTTCACCATCTTTTTGGGGAACCTAAATGCCCTTTAACATAATCAAGTTTCTGAAAAATCCTGTACTATAGAAACTTGTCTAATTTTGTTTATTTCACCATTTCCTATTTTTCCCAGCATCACATTGACATTCCTGTTTTATAGAACACAATTTAAGGAAATAGTAGCCTGCATTCAGAAGTTAGTCCCAAATCCTTGTAGTTCTTCAGGACATAAAAAAATATCTCAAGATTTTGTTGCACAATCAGGACAATTAGAGAAACGGGCTGGTCTTGACTTAAGGTCGGTCTGTAAGCCGGGACGGTGCAAGTCGATCTCCTGTACGAGCAAAGCCACTGCTCTTGTTGGTTTGTATTTCTGTTAAGGTTTCCCAGGTGCTGAAAATACAAGAGAGCTGAGCTAGATGGTTTTATAAGTGCTACATTTTTGTTTGAACAAACTCATTATGGAATAACTTCTGGTTTTACTCCACTATTATAAACCCATCCTCCTTGTAACAGTTTCAAATGTGATTTCAGAAGTCTAGTTTTCTGGCAAAAACTATATACTAGCAAAATAGACAGTAAAGTCTCATCTTTTATACAATACAAACAAAACCTCTGTCCCATGTAAGTGAATTGGCTTGGAAGATGATGGCACATATATAAAATAGAATATTATGCAGCCATTAAAATAAATGATAGTTATGAACATTTAGAAATATCTTTAAAATATTAATTTTTAAAAACCCAATAGAAAATGGTAACTATGACATAGTAACAACTATTTAAAATATGTATGCATTGCAGACAAGGGCTAGAAGCTTATATGCAAAAATGAAAGTCGTCATTGTATTCATGTTAAAATTGTTATTTTTTTCTTATTTTACACCATTTTTAATATTCCATTTTAATAATCATAATAAAAAAACTTTTATTATTTCATTAATCTGCCATAAGCAAGGGATTTGTTACAGTATTTTTGGATGTTCGTTTAGAGCTGGTTTGGTTTCAGTCTAAAAAATGACTATATCTCATAACATAGTAAAAGATCATTAAAATTTGTTACTTTTATTCATGTCTAAAGATAAAATGTACTTTTATTCCATTTCCCTAGTTCAGGACCTCATCGTCTCTTAACTTCCAAAATAAATTCCTTGTTGGCCCAGGTTTACCTGATCCCCGCTTCATTTTCCATTTTTATTGATCGCCTTTCCTTCCAGCCCATCCTACATCTTCCTGCCTTGGGAATTTTCCTGAAACACAGATCTGCTGAGCAGGCCAGGTCAGCCTGATATCCCGCAGGGGCTTTGCAATGCCCTGAGTGGTCTCCACTTGGGACAGCGCTGGGATGTGCTACATACTTGCCTTCGCTGGTGCTGTCACTTTGGCCTGGAGTGTTCACTGCCTCTTCTTTCTGTCTCAGGGTCTGGCAAGTACCCAATCCATGGTAGGAATTTAGTGTATGATCTGAATAAACGAGCAGGGAAATGAAACCACATTAGGTTACATTTCTATTACTAGTTATTTTTCAAACCTAGATGTTTATGATTATAAAAAGCTGATGGAGGTAATGTCTATTTCAGATGTAAAATGGAATCAGAAATAAAATCCCTTCTCAATGAAGAGAACATTGGAAGTGAATGTCTTCCTCACCTTATGAATTTTGGTGAGTTTCTCTTGGTACTGTATTTAGAGGGGAGTTTTGTTTTGAAGATGAAAGAGGGCCCTTGTTTCATGTCCGTTTTATATTAACTGGTGTTTGTTTTCTTCTAAAGGAATCCAAAAATAAATCTGCACTCAAATGACTTGTTCTTGAAGAAACTTTAAATAGTAATGTGTTACCTTGATTTAATTTTGTCTCACCATAGAACAAGAGTTATCAGAACAATGGGACACATATCTTAAAAATGTGATAAATCCTATCCAGCAATTGAGAGCAGATCTAAAATACAGACAGCATCACATTTCACAGCATTCCCACTCACATGTTGAGTTTAACTCAGTGAAAGTACTGGAAGAGGTCAGTATATTATTTTTATTTTTAGTAATGTCATCTCTCATTTTTGTCGCAACTGAAACAGTTTGAGATAAGAAACAAATATGTGTACCTTGTGTATTTAAATGGAAGGCATAGCACATTTTGTCTATTCAGTATCCTAAGCATATCCCTGAATCTGTCAGAGCATGCTCATTTCTCACCTGGCATGTTACAGTGGCCTCATAAGTGGTCTCCCTGCTTTCTTGTTGCCCCTCTTCCCAGTGCATTCTGGGATACCACCTTCAGTTCGGGTGGATCAAGTCACCCCTTCTGGCAAGTCCCCTCAGGGAACCCACTGGCCCATAATCCCTTGCTCTCCATCCAGCCCCCCTCTGCCTCTTCAGTCTCATCTCCCACTGGACACAGCCCCTCTGCTCCTAGACCTTGTCACACTGACACAGGCGGCCCCTTCCTGTCTCACGGCCTTTACCCTGGCTCTTTCCTCTGTTCCACTGTTGGCACTTTCTGTCATTTAGGTCTTAGGCTGGCTGGTCACCCACATGAGAGAAGCTGCAGTCACTCCCTGTTACCTCACTCTGTTTACATCACTTAACCTCCTCCTGATACTTCCTTATCTACTTTTTTATTAGTTTATTGACTTCCTCCCCTTATTAGAACATAAGCTCCATGATCATAGTTGTACTAGATGAAGGCTTTTAGGTGATTTTTTTTACTCTACTTTTTAATATTCTGTAGTGTTGTTATATTGCTTTCATAAGTAATACTTTTTTAAAGACATTAAAAATCCCATGCCCAGCTGGGGATTAGAGGCAAGGATACAAGGGAAAGAAGTGGTGACTGAAGCAGAGATGATATGGTAAGCTCCTTGCCTTAACAAAACAAAATCCAAATGTGGGTGCTGCGTGGCTATGACCCCACCGCACTTCCTAAACCCATCCTGTGGCTGTGTGTCTGGAGCCCCCTCTGATAAGCACTGCCTGGCTGTGGCATCTTTTGGCCCCTCTTCCAGAGGTCCTCAAAGGGACTTTCTCTTATCTACATTTAATAGGTTGACTTTGTGAAGAAACAATTGAAAGCTGTCTTTGAAAGACTTAGCCTGGAGCAACAGAAAATAGAAAATAGTATTTCAGACTGGAGTATGGAAGTAAGTGTGATGCAAGTAGCAATTTGTTTATCAATTTGTCATTTATGTTGTTATGTTTTATTTAAAACAATTACATAATTTTTTTTCAGATACTAGATCATTCTTCAGAAGAAAGGAGTAACCTGCTTAGTGAACTGCCCATACAATTAGAAACTTTGGAATGCCCATACCTTGATTTGAAATCTTCAATCCTTAATGAGTTCTGCAACTTTACAGAGAAATATCAAAAGAAACTTCAAGATTTTGATCTGCAGTTAGAAGATATATACAGGTAATAAGATAAAACTACTTGAATTATACAGGTTTTTACCACTAAATTTTTGTCTTCGTTGGGGACTATCATGCTTCTGATTTACTTTTTTCAGTTACTATGTGATTGGAATCAATAAGTGTTTAGGTTGACTCTTTGTTGAATGAGGGTTTTTTTCCTCTAAAATAATTTCCCTGAAATAATGGTTTTAAGGATTTTTATGAGGTTGAAACATGATAAAAAAATACTCTTCTGAGGACTGGTTAGCCAGAGACGGGTAAGATTCCTCAAGGGAGGAACAACCTAAGACAGGCACAGTCGCAGGGGGGCCATCAGGTGAGAAATTGGGGAACAACAGTGGTGAAGCTTAGAACCTCACCCCCCTCCCTGTTTTGAGAGAAAGCTTCTGCATCCGTGGATGTTTTATTGCCCTTGTCTAGCTCGAATCAGCACATAGTCTACAGGCTCACACCTGATCATCTACAATTGCTCTCTTACAACACTAAACTATGTTTTCTACCTTTATCTTGCATCTACCTACCACTTCAGCATTTTATTAAAAATAAAAATAATAATAATAATAGGAGAAATGTGGGATCAACATATAAATCAAGTACAAAAATCAAATGAATATTCATATTTGACCTGATTGTTTATAGGTCATATTGCATGATCAAAACCGAAAGTTTCTGTGATGAATGCCCTTGTACTGTTCACCATGTAAGAATTTATTCACTCTGTAAGAATTCGTTCACCATGTAAGAACTTGTTCGTTATGCTTCAGAAGATTGGAGACTGACGAGAATTAGGCTTGAGATGGATTAATGATTGTACATTGAGCATTGACCCCCCTATACAGAATTTTATTGTTGTTAACAACCATTTGATCAATAAATATGAGAGATGCCCTCTCAAAAAAAAAAAACCAAACTTAAAAATCAAAAAAAAAAATCACATACTAATTTAACTATACTGAATAAATTAGAAATGATGTTTCTTGAAAAATACTCTTCTGCTTGAGCTCATTACTATGCTGGTGAGAAATACTTTTCAAGCATGATTTTTCAGTAACTATGAATTTTCATTTTAAGATGTGAAGTTCCTTTTCAGTAGAAATTTACAAATCAATGCTAATAATTGCTTACAATGGAAAATGTACCCATGGAATTATGTTACTCGTAATTCAGTGTGATTTTGCCCTTTGGTGAACACAAAATATGTTCTGTAAATTTTTTTAATGTTAAATTTTTTAAGAAAATGTACTTTTGGTTATATCCCAAAAGTGACAATCCTCTTCTGAATAACAAATATATTGTTAACTGACTTATAACTCAGTTTGGCAGGGTCATCTTCTCTAGTGTGAATTCTGTATTACAATGCACTGATGAGCAAACCCAGAAATGCCACCGTGGGTCCGATCAATAGTTTACCTCATGTGCTGTTCTGTATATTAAGTTTCTGGGGAACATTTTGTAGGAAAACATGCTTTTTATTTTATTATATTGAGCTCAAGATTTTCTCCAAAGAATATAGATTTAAAAAGAAAGCAATTGAGGGATGCACAGTAAATTAAAGGGAACTAAGGGCTCTTACTTTGAAATGGAAGAACATAAATATGACAAATATTTATATTTCTTACATTTCTTGATGAATTATCTGTAAATGAAACTCCTTTATATGATATTACTAATGTTAAGAAAAAAAGAAATAAATAATAGCAAGGAAAACCTTAAATCCTACCAAGTAAGAGTTCTTTGTTTCAGTGGCTTCTTGATCCAAACTCTTCAGTTATGGCTTCTATTTGTCTTTCCGTACACGTGGAGAGGCTCCTAGGTGACGTTTGAGTCTTCCCTGACCGACAGCGGCTTTCTTACATCTCTGGGCGGATGGTCACATGTTCCTCCTGGGCAGACACCATTTGGTCTAAGAGCTCCTTCTCTCCCTGCCTCTCGGCCTTCCTTTTGTCCTTCCTCCCTTGCAATAAAGTTGAGAAGAAAATTAATAATATATCATTTATATGCGTTGATTGAGTAACTAATTACACTTTAATTGAAACTCAGTCATAGTGCAGTGTTAAGTCAAGCACGCACTTAGTTTAAGTCTCTAATAGGAAAATAAACAGCCTGTCTCCCCTCCCCATCCCAACCTTGTTAAAGAGATTTTAGAACTAACCAAGTAAGAGGGAGAGTTTTTTGGTTGGGGGAGGAGGTGGGGTAAATGTGGAAGGCTGTGCATTATAATCAGACTGACTGTGGCTGTGAAGAAGGGTAAACCTGTCCTTTTAAAGCAGGTTGGCGGTCCCATGATCTTCCCCTCCAGATGACATCTCATCCTCCCTGGGCAAGCTGGCTGAGACTGGTGTTTCTACATTCGCAGCTCCTAAACATGGAGGAGTTTGCCTTAGCAGCCATAATGCCTCCCTTCCACTAAGACCTACCCTTCATGGCCCATGTTCTTACCTTCCTCTTAATCTGAACTCAATTTCTGCTCTTCATTTGTGCAACCCTGTAGCACTCAAAAAAAGTTGAGATTCACAGCTCCATTGTTATTGCTGATGACTAAGCAGAGAATTACATGACTATATATCACATGATAAAGATTTCTGCAAGAGGGAAGAAACACTGAGGAAAAAACAGCTTAGGAAGGCTTGATAGAGGAAGTAAAATTCACTAGGGAGTTTGAAGAATGGGTAGGATGAGAATAAGGCAGAAAGGGGGTAAAGTGGACAGTCTGAGAAGGGATATAAATGGATAAACTGTAAACCCCTTGAAGACAAGGTAATGAATTAAATATTTATATCCTTAGTACCTATCACATCCTGGCACATACCAGCCTTTAAGTAAATGATTGTCCAACTGAGTTGAATTAAATGTGAAAACATGAAGGTGAGAGTGCAAGACGTGCTGTGAGAGCAGTAGGAATTGGCTTGGGAGGAATATAGGCTCATAAATTCTAATTGAATAGTTTGCTTGCCACATAAAATTATCCAGAGCAAATTTTACATAATTAATGATATGTTTTATTTGATGAATATATTGGGTAATCCTTAATATAAGTGGTCTCTGCTAAATGCCTTGGGAGGTGTTTCAGCAGACTACATTAGAATATGTCTTTGCCTTTGAGAATGCTTGAAATATTTGGGGGAAGCAACACATACGCATGTGTCCTGACCAAATGAAAATTACGTGCAAGTATCAACTGAAAAGACTATTTTATTAACAAGCTGGTGGTGAATGATGAAGCATCAATAAACCAGAATGAGGTTTCGGGAGTAGTTTCACTGAGGAGAAATAGAATACATGGGCTATTTTGAATAAACACTGAGGTGGTGGGCCTCAGCAGCCTGTCGCTGGTGGCAACAAGGCATGTGAATGTGCTCGGACAGCTGCACAATGAATCCTAAGTTCACCTGTAATATGAATTGGGCTTTCAATTTTCCAGTATCTGCCATTATTTTAATATGACCATTTCCCCTTTTAGTTCTAGATATTAGGTCTTGTGAGAATTCACATAGATTGGTACATGTCTGCACACCTGTACAAGTGAGTGTGTGCATATTTTAAATAGATGTGTACTGCTATAGCATAAAAAGGTGAGCTATGTGGGAGACATCTTTATTATGAGCTGTTTTCACTGGGCTAAAGGCAGTGGGCACCACAGCTCATCCCAACACTTATGTTAATTCCCCCTATTTTGTGGCAGCTTGCTGATATGGGTCAGAATGACTCTGTCTCCAGATCCAAAGGGAGACCCTGGTTGGGAACAGGTAGCAAGCAGTAACATCACTGTCCCAGGCCACAGTGACTGGCTCAGGGGTGTCCAAATGTGTGCAAAGCTCAGAACTTTTGCTGGGTACTTGTGAGGGGTCGTGCCTTCGCTTCTCTGTGGATGTACCGGGAAGTGCAAAGCAGAGGTTGCCGCCGGCAGCCATTGTGCGAATGAAGGAGACAGCGCCCAAGGTGAGGAAAGAGGCCAGCTACTCAGGGGAAAAGTGACCTGGTGCTCTGTTTGCACTGCGTGGGCAGCCAAATGCACCGCTGAATTTTCAAGGGCGTTCAGTCCACATTAATGTCTTAAGCCAGTGTGAATTTGGTTTTTAGTTGCTTGCAATTTAAAACGTCCCAAGCTATATACAATAGTTAATTTGATTTCAAAATATCCATGACTCATGAAATTAATCTGTCAGTTTAATACAACTGCAATTGAAGAATTGTTAAAAATTATTCCAAAAGTTATTCGGAAGATTAAGCTTGTAAAATGAGCCAAAAATTCAAAATGAATAACTCTGTCGTGGGGGCGGGGGGGGGGGAATTAAACTTGTAGAGCAAAATATAAACATATTTTAATATGAAAATCAATTAGAAAGTTTCATATATATGTGGAATATGTTGCTGATCACTGGACCAAAATAGAAGTGCAGAAACAAAATTATAATAATGTAATTTGTTATTAAGGGGAAATTTCAAAACTGTGGATGAAAGATTGGCTTATTTATAAGAGAGAACTAAATAAAAGGCAATTGGAAAACAAAGTTAGGTCTCTTCCTTATTCCATATGACTCAATAAACCCCAGGTGCATTAAAATGTGAAGAAGAGAAGAATCATAAATTAGATAAAAATAAAAGCAAATGTTAACTAATCTTGGAGTGGGGAAGGGCTTTTAAAATATGTTACCTGCAGTGAAAATCATAAATAAAAAGTTTAAATAAATGCAATAACATAAACGTTAAAATAATTTAACTGGATGGTTTTTCAGGCAAGTTAAATCTCTAAAGAATTGATAGAGACTTGCAGTTTCCAGTCCAAAGCGAAAGGAGCTTAGAATTTGCCACTTGGCTCTGACAAGTAAAAAGCTGAGCAAACTGAAAAATCAACAGCTCTTCTTAGATACACCAGAGAAGTAAGATCACAGGGTAAACTGGTGCCCCCCAAATTGGAGATACAGGTGATAACAGAGAATCACAACTTACCTGAGAAGAAACCTCAGTGGACACCAGTGCTGGAGTAGGAAAACTGGACCA